GCTCTTTTAGGTAAGTGGCTTTAGAGGTGGCCCCTGGAGAGGGAGAGGTTGTGGCATGAAGTAGTGAAAAGTATCCATGGCTGTTCCGAATCAGGTTGGGGTGCGGGAGTATCCCGAAGGGCTTTGCTCACAACACCTTGGAAGGCTATCTTTGGCATTCTCTCTAAGTTCCTCAGTTTTGTAAGGTATGATGCTTGCTCTAGAAACTCCATTCTTTTTTGGGAAGATACTTGGGTGAGCTCTCAACTCCTAAAAGATCGTTTCCCTTCTCTCTATTCCATCTCCTTCTTTAAAAAGAAACCTATTTCTTGGTTCCTTTCCCCCCCCCCCCCCCCCCAGTTTGCCCTTTGGCCTTAAATTGGGATTTCGGGTTTCAAAGAGGGTTAAGGGATGAAGAATTTCTTTGTGTTTTAGAGCTGTTGTTGCTTCTAGATTCGGTGTGTTTGGACCCCCCTAACCCGGATACAAGAGTCTGGTCCCTAACCTCGGTTGGCTCATTCACTTGTGCTTCTTTCTTTAAAGCCCTTTGCTCCAATCCCTCTTCTCAGATCTTCCCCATTAAAGAGGTATGGTCAAGCCCAATTCCCCCCAAAATAGCAGTGTTCTGTTGGGAAGCCTATTATGGTAAGATCAATACTGTGTAAAACTTGCAAAAGAAGAAACCTTTTATGTGTTTGTCCCCTAATTTGTTCTCTCTGTGTAAAGTGAAGGGTGAGGACTATAACCATTTGCTGATATCATGCTCCTTTGCTACCAATATTTGGAACTGGGTTGTTTCATTATTTGGGTGCAGGTGGAATTTGCCCTCTGGAGTAAAGTTGCTGTTCACTCCGGCTGCTTTTGGGAGAATGACAAAAAGAGGGAAGCTAGTGTGGAAATGTATCAGAGCTGCTATGTTGTGGACTGTATGGGAGGAGAGAAATGCTAGAATATTTCAAGRACAGGAAAGAAGTCTTGCTGAAATCAAGGAATGCATATTGACAAGGACTATTTCATGGTTAAAATMTTCACACTTGTTGGCAGATTACTCCTTTGATGACTTRAGGAGAAATTGGGCTGCAATGGTTGCTACAGTCTCCACCAAGTTCAAATCACAAGCTAAATGGATTTCCCCCACTGGATGGTGTGGTAAAATTGAATTTTGAACCCAGGGCCATTGGGAATTGGTGGGATTCTGAGAGACAAAGACAGCAATATGTTGTCTCTATTTTCAGGACTAGTGGGTGAAGGTGATTCAATAAGGGCAGAGCTACTAGCAGCGGTACAAGGTATACAGATGGCTAGTCAAATTGGAGTGACAAATTTGCTAGTAGAAGGGGATTCCAAGGTAGTAGTAGGCTGGCTAATWAGCCYAGAAAYAGMTTGTTGGGGCTACAGGGATCTGTTAAAGAAAGTTAAATGGATGACAAGGAATATTACTGTCAGGTTTCAGTGGGTTAGAAGATCAGCAAACGCAATGGCTGATTCTCTGGCCAAGCAGGGGGTGTCAAGGGGAGATCTATTTTGGGCTACTTTGTAATTGTGTCTCAGGCTTGGGCAGTTTTGGTGTATATGGTTCAGTCCTAGGGGAGTAACATCTCGTGCCTCCTAGGCTGATTGTATTTTTGTTATTTGATTTAATAAAATTACTCTCATTTATCAAAAAAAAGTTAGTTAATTGTTGTTTTAGTATTATAACCTAAGAAAGTTAATAATATAAAATATCCAAGAGCATTGTATAGAAAAATATCTTGGCAATTGAGGTAACCCTCTATGAGTGCCTTATCGCCTAGGCATCACTCTACATGTTAAGCTATACCTTGGTATTACTTGATTGTCATGGTTAGGTAGTATACCCTAGAGGTAGTCTCTACTTTATACGATAGTGAGTTCTTGTGTCATTTGGTGTAGCAATGGCAGACATGCCTTTGCTAGGTTATTTGACTTTTCATTTGATTGATATAGCACATTTGTGTTTAATTGGATGGTCGCAAGAAATTGTCTCGACTATGTGAAATGAAAACCAAATCACCTAGGCATGCACTCGCTGGGTGATTTGGTTTGTCCTTTTACTAATGGCACGCTTGGGGATTTTTAGAGGCCAGAAGAAAGTGTTATGATTATGTGAACTCATTGCTCCACATGTTAGGCTACCTTCGTATTTCTTGATATTCCTACTAGGTAGTGGATCCCGGAGGTATCTCCATTTTATCATACGATAGCAGGTAGTTCATGTATCACTTGGGGTAGCAACAGCAAGCATGCACTCATTGGGTAATTTCGTCATTCATTTGATAATAGAATGTCTATGTTTTATTGGAGGGTTGCAAAAAAGTGTTGTGACCATATGAACTAATCAAAGCCAAATAACCTAGCCATGCACTCACAAGATGAGTTTGTTTTAAATTTGATTATTAGCATGTTCTTGACTTGTTAGAGGGTCACAAGAAAGTGTTGCGTCCATGAAGACTTATCAAAGTCTAATCACCCAAGAATGCACTCATTGGGTGGTTTGGTTTTCCTTTGATTGGTAGCAGGTTAGTGTTTTGTTGGAGGAGAGTCACAAGAAAGTATTGTGACAATGTGAGCACATTACAACAGATATTTGACTACTGTGGTAATTATTGATTGTCATAGTAAGGTAGTAGATCTTAGAGGTAGTCTATTTTTTCATTTTATTGTAGAGTTTCAAGAAAGTATTATGACCATGTGAACTCATCAAAACTAAATCACTTGGGCATGCACTTGCTAAGTAATTTGGTTTTTTTATTTGATTGATATCATGTTTGTGTTTTATTGGAGCGTTGCATGAAAGTGTCTTGGTTGTTTGAACTAATTGCTCAACATGGTAGGCTACCTTGATATTTCTAAATTGTCATAGTAAGGTATTAGATCCTAGAGGCATTCTCTATTTTTTCGTTTAATTAAATAGTATGCCTGTGTTTTATTAGAGGATTGCAAGTGTTGTGACCATGTGAACACATCGAAACCAAATCACCTAGGCAAGCACTCACTAGGTGAATTGTTTTTTCGTTTGGTTGATAGCATGTCGTGTTTTATTGGAAGGTCAAAAGAAAGTGTTGTGACCATGTGAAATCATTGCTCCACATGTTAAGCTATCTTTGTATTTCTTGATTGTCAAAGTAAGGAAGTGGTCCCTAGAGGCATAGTTTTCTAGGTGCTCAGTGAGGCTAGGTGATGGTTTTTTCTCTGAATAAAAGCAATCTTTCACTATTAATTGTCGCTTAGTTGCCTAGGTGATGTTTTATTTTATTTTTCTGGAATAAAACCACGAGTCCTAGGGTATTTTACCATTTTTCACTATTAATTGTCTATAATGTTCATAAAATAATGTATAAGTTTCATTTGAAACATAGAAAATAAACATATTCATGAAAAAAATTGAAAGAAGAGAATTTTCAGAAAATAGAGGGGTTGAGCCTCTATTTTTGTCCTAGGGCAAAAAGAAAAGAAAAGAAAGGGTGAAAGAAGAAGAAGATAATGATGAAAATAATCAATATGTTTTGATTGGATAAATTGAGTTCTTCCACCATTATTAGCAGTTCCAGTTTTTTCTAGGTAATATATATGTTGATTGAACCCTAACAAATGAGGTAAGTAATAAAAGAAACCAGTATATTAACTTAAACTGAATAATTTAGTTTAATAATGCCTATTTTACTATTATAAGCTCAAAAAATGAACTTCCTTTCCTTAGTAACTAACATTTCTTCCTCAGATTTGATGTGAGATGTTCTAGTGCTGTATTCATGTTTCTCTTATTATGAAACTCTGGAATCACTTACATGCTATGCTTATTCCCAACAGGCATGTTGCTCCAAAATTTGTTTGTACTGGAAAGTCATGGAAATATTTAATCCAAAATTTGTTCATTCTTGTGTGCTCTTAAATGACTTGTTTGACTGAAGAGCTTATAATCCAAATTGAATGAGCTTTATATGATGATAAAGTGGTTTCTGACTTATGAAACAAGAGCCATTGATATGATAGTAAACCTTGTTAGTTATGCAACTTGTGTGCTGGGTTGGCTCAGGTTGAAGACAGCCTTAGCCCAACTCAATGTGTCAAAACCTCAAGTCTAACCCTAACCCAACACAACCTTGATCCCAGTCATCCAACCCAATCATGAGATCGAGTTGGTTGGGTTAGGTTTGGGTTTGGAATCTTACAATCCAAATTTACAAACATATGCATAAATAGTCATATTCATGCAAGCACATATTACATATAAAAGTGATACATAGACATTATATTATATTAATAGTTTATAATAACCACCCTTCACTCTCCTCCCCCTCTCACATAGGCATTCTTAAATACATAAAATCAATGTGTATCATACATAATATTACAAGAATATATATTTATAAGAGTAAAAGGTTGGGTTTGGATTGGGTTGACCCTAACCCAACCTGATTTTATATCAGGCTGGCATTCTTCAAAGTTCAAACCTGGCCCTAAACCAATCTTCAACCCAACCCAACCTGATTTGGGTCAGCCTAGTCCAAGTTGCACCTCAATTCTTTTGCAGTTTCGCACCTGATTTTTATGTTATTTTTTTTGAAAAGGTAAAGTGATATTTTTTTATGTTATTTTTTTATTTTTCTTTTGTGGAAGGTTATCCAGCATTAACTTCCTTGTGGAGCACTAATTTTATATGCTTTTATCTAATTTTAAATGATAATCACATTGGTGAAGTTCATGCCACTTTTGTTATCTGGAAGAGGACAAATTCTTCATATGTTTGTTTAAATAAAAAATAAGAGTAAAAGGAAATCCTTTATTTTCCTATACAATTTATATTCCTCTCCACCTGCATGCTTGTTAAAATGGTTGAACTTTAATTGGTCAAACTTATGCCGTTGCACCAGTTGTCAAAGAAAAGAGACTAGACTTGGTAGGTCTTGCACTAATTGCATTACATACTCTTATTCGCTTGTCATGTTCCTCAATTTTGTACTATCTTATTAACATGCTTCTGATGGTGTTCTTTTTCCCAGTTTGGAAAGAAAAGTCATCCAGAATGTGCTCGTTTTTCCCCAGACGGGCAATTTCTTGTTTCTTGTTCTGTTGATGGATTTATTGAGGTATAGTTGATTTAGAGACATTCTTATTGTTCATACCTTGTTTTTCAAGGATCATCATATGTTAACTAATTTTTGGAGCAATTCCAGGTTTGGGACCAAATAAGTGGAAAGCTCAAGAAGGATCTTCAGTACCAGGCTGACGTGAGTTTTTCCTTTTTCTTTTTCCCCAAGAGTCTTATATCCTAGAAGGATATTTTTTAAACAATATATCGTAGATGGAGATGTCTATCTATTATCTTCTTGGATATATTTCAAATTTAACATTAAACATAAAGATAACTTTACAGTTTTACAGTTCCTGGAACTGAGGGAATTATATTTGCAATTTTAAGTTGATTTTATACAGGATTACTACAGACAATTTTTTTGATTCACAACTCAAATAATTTTTTGGTTATGGTAATGCAAAAACATACAAAGTAGACAAAGGGAAAAATAAAAAAAAAGAAATCGCGGTCTGTATGTATACAATCCCTACATACACCCTTAACTACTCTACTCAGGAAAAATAAGCCCCAACCCCCAATATATGTCATCCCTTTGAACCTGTCTCCTAGTAAGGGAGTTAAATCATTAGTAGACCTTCTAACCCAATGGAATGAAGTGTTCCCAATTGCTGCTAGTGCTCTAGTATCCCTTAGATTCTTCTGGTATGTCCAAAGGGCACTACCATCTTTCATCCAGCCCACCACAACATGTAAGTCTCCTTCAACCTCTTATCCTTTCATGCCCAAGAGATTGAGCAATCTATAGTCCCCTAGCCAAGCATACTTGTATTATCTTTCCTTCATTGTACCTAAACGCATCTCCAATGCCGACAGGCCAAAGGAATAGACAGCCTCATCTCTAATTCCTTTGGGAAAGTGGTTTCCTGGATTGCTTCTGTAAATGGTTTCCAAACTAGGGAGATTGGAGCCCAGCTGAACTCTAGAAATCTCCTTGAGCTGTAATGTAATCTGGTTCTTGGGCCTGCCTTCTTTCCGGGGGCCTATTTGTATCCTTCTCTATATTCTTAATAAAATTACCTTACCTTTTTCACAAAAAAAAAAGAATGAAACCTTTTAATTTTCTTTTATTTTTTTCCTTATAACCTGTAGAAGAAGATGTATCTAAAGAAGATTTGAGGTCTTATGATCTTACAGTGGATGTGGTCCTTTTTTTGGCTACTGCAGTGGATGTGGGTCCTTGATAGAATGGAATGATGAAACATGGTTTGTTTAGTGACCACAAATAGTTGGAATAAGGTTCAGTTGAGTTGCATTGAGCGTATAGAAGCAGTGTTTTAAATGCGCAAGGCGCAAAGCACCCAAGATGCAAGGCACTAGGTGAGGTGTGTGCCTTTTTGAAGCAAGGTGCAAAGTTTAAAAAGAAATTGAAAACCCTCACCTTTCTAAACCTCAAACCTCCTCCTTCCTTTGGTCTACACATTTTTTTCCATCAGGTTCTGGGAAGATGACTAGTGTGGGATAGGAAAGTTGTGTGAATTACGCCCAAGGTTGTATAGGTTGGCTGAGGCTGATGTGACTGTTCTTAACTGTTATGAGAGAAGAGGGGAGCAACCTGGTTTGGTGTCCAAGGTTCAGAAGACCATCACTTGACAGGGAAAGTGAAGAATGCATTGCACTTTTGGAAAAACTAGAAAGGGTGAAGGTTTCATCCCAGTCAAGGGATGAACTATGGTGGAAGAAATGCTCAGATAGAAAATACTTTGTGAAGTCTTGTCATCTAACTCTCTGTAGGAACCAATTAGGCCTAAACCAGGCTGGAGGTATTTGGGGCAACCTGGTTCCTCCTAAGGTAGAAGCTTTTGCATGGCTTGTTGCTATGGATAGTGTCTTACTGTGGATCGCTTGAAGAGTAGAGGGTTGAACATGGCTAGTATGTGTTTCCTGTGCAAAGAACGAGATGAAACAGTCAGTCACTTGTTCATATCTTGCAAGGTTTCTGGTTTCATATAGAATCTCTTCACAGCACTGTTTGGGGTAAGAAACTTTCAGCCAAGATCTCCTTAAGAGGTTTTCTCATCATGGCCAAAGTTCAGAGGTAGCAAGAGAGCAAGGCTGATTTGGAGCTGATACCTTATGCAATCTGCTGGAACATGTGGAAGGAAAGAAACAGAAAAGTGTTTGAAGACAGCTTGGAATCTGGATAGGCTGGTGGCAGCTGTTGGCAAGCCTGTAACAGACTGGGTCTTGGTACTGCCAGAATTCAAACAAGTCGATAAAGAAGACCTTGGGAACAGGCTTGGGGAACTGTTGGAGTTTCAAAGTTGTAATTTGGATGATTTGATTTGACTTGTATTTGTGTTTTAGACTTTTAGTATGCTTATAGGTGTTACATTAACACCTGATTAGGATGTAATATTTTGTTTTTTCAACTGTTGATCTTCAGATCCCAATCTATTTACTTTTCATGAACCCAATTCCAGCTGGGATGGCAGCCTTGATTGAAAAGAAAATGAGAGAATTCTTATGGAAAGGTTGGAAGGACAATAAGAAGATTCATTTAGTAAGCTGGGGAAGGGTCTGCAGGCACGAGAAAAATGGAGGTCTAGGAATCTGAAAACTGAGAGATCTAAATATTGTTCTTCTTGGCATGTGGTTTTGGAGATTTAGGCAGCAGGAGAATAGCTTATGGAGGAGGGTTATTAAAGCAAAATATGGTCTAAGGAATGGAGGATGGGAGCCAGGTGAAGCAAGTCAGCCTTATGGTTGCTTGGTATGGAAATGGATAGAGAAAAGCTATAGCCAGTTTAGCAAAGAAATCAGTTTGGAAGTGGGAAAAGGAACCAGGATCAGATTTTAGAAGGATTGCTGGTGTGGAGGTAGCTTGTTGAAAGATGATTTCCCAGAACTGTTTGCATTAGCGGTGGATAAGGAAGCAAAGGTAGCAGACTATTTGCAGCTTTTCAGTGGAAATTGTGTTTGGAATCCCTTATTCAGAAGAGCTTTAAATGACTGGGAAATTGAACCTTTTGCTCATCTGCTGCAAAAGCTTTATAGTACTAATTTTGATCCTAAAAGAGAAGAGTGTGGCTGGGTGGGAAGGATATGCAGTTTTCTGTCAGCTCTTTCTATTACCAAGCTTACTAGGGAAGGAGTTTTGGAGTTTCCTATGGCTCAGTTTGGAAGGAGTACGAATGCAAATATGTAGAGTGCAAAACCTTATATTTTGTATTGTTTTGTATGTATTTGCACCGTACATATTTGCATTTGTACTCTTTCCAAACTGAGCCTATGAAACTAATCTGGTGCAATCAAATCCCCTCAAAAATTGCTTTTGTCCTATGGTCAGACTATTCCAATAAGATTCTGACTAAGGATAATCTTTTGAAGAGAGGTGTGGGAATCGATTCTTCAGATTGTGTTCTTTGTAACAGAGAGGAGACTGTTGACCACCTGTTTTTACATTGTAATTTCTCTTGTAGCATCTGGGTGAAAGTATACAGTTTGTTTGCCTGCAAGGGTTGATGTCTGGTGTCACTGGAAAAGTTTTGGTGGCATTTACAAGGTCTGAACAAAAGAGGAAAGGTTATTCGGCAAATGATTCCTGGAAATATGTTGTGGTCTATTTGGCAGGAGAGGAAATCCAGAATTTTCCAGAACAAGGGCAGTCAAGAGGAGGATGTATGGCAAAAAATGGCGGGCAAATTGTTTTCTTGGTCATAACTTAAAAAGTTCAGAGTTTAATTCCCTTTTTGATTCTGTAAATCTTTTTGAAAGTACCGATGGGATAGCGGCTTAGTCTTTTTGTATGGTTCTTTTTTTTCCTTTTCTTTTAATGAAAAATCATACTTTACCTCTTCTTGGAAAAAAAAACAGTTGGGCTTGAGATTGATTGAGGTAGAAGGGGACTCAAAAGTAGTTATCTCTTGGGCAAACACAAGCTGGCATATCACATGGACTCTTAGCCATGTGATAAGGGAAGTGGAACAGGTTGCAAAGGACATAGGGCAGAATTTAAGTGGATTAGTAGGACTGCAAATGGATTTGCTGACTCCCTTGCTCAGCAAGGAGTTACAAGACAACCTGTTTTGGGATTCTATGTAACTTGGGTATAAGGAAAGGGTTTATCTACTATATATTCATGTTGTACTAAGCACTGCTGTCACTATTTTCTTTTGAATGAAACAAAACTAATTTTTTGCTGATAAAAAATGTAATATTTTTTTAGCAAAAATGTTTACTTTTACTAACAAAATTAAAATATTTAAAAAAAAGCTAAAATATCAGATAAAAGTTGCAAAAATTAAAAAGTAAAAATATTCAAATTGTATAATTAAATAAATACATACTTATATTTTAAACTATATGTTTTAAAAATCCTATTAGCTCAAATTTAAATATATAAACATAACATATAAAACATATTCCAAGTGAAAATGTAAAAACAAAATTAAATATAAAATATAAAACATATTCATGCATTCAACAATTCAAGCCCGTGAAACTTTCAATCTCTTTATTTCTTTCCCAATCGCATTTACTCTAATTCTATGAACCCCTTGACTCAAGGCCAAACAAATCCATGCTAGAGTCTTGAATCCGTAATTCATAATTAAACTTTGATTTTGTAATTTAACGATAATTCCTTAATTGTTTAAAATGTCTTGTCTTAAGAAGGATGATTATATGATATTAGCAAAAAGGGGGGTTATTGGAGCATTGACAAGCTTAGAGCCCTTTGACCCGATCACGAAGCTTAAAAATATAAGTGCAACATTTAGCTAAGGTGCATGCTTGGGCTGAGGTGCAAGGTGCACTAGGCACACATTTGTTTAAAGGGGTTGTGCTTGGGCCTAGGTGAGCCGTAGGCCTTGAAATGCGTCTTGCCTGTTCATTGTTAAATCACTGTATAGAAGTGGAATACATGTAGATGGATTTTTTGTAAGGTTTATTCTTATATCCATTATAAAAGAAATCCAACCTTGTTAGTTATCTGAAAGAGGTGCCTCTTGTCGTTTTTTAGCTAATTGTGATAATTCTCTCCAAGTGTAATTTTTTCCTAGAAGAACACATGTATAATGCTGTTGAAGTTCTTTTTGTTGTTGTTTTCCTCAAGAAATGCTAAGCTTTTCAATGGTATATTTGAGGCAGTGTTTTAAAGTTAAAGACACAAAAAAAAAGGGTGCAAGGACCATTTTGCGCCCAAGGTGCAAGGTGAGGCATGCGCCTAAAAAGCCAAAAAATAATAAAAATGCAAATTATGAAAAATATTAAACACATTATATTAATTAAAAATATAAACTTAAGTTTTAAACCTATTATCTCAAATAAAAATTTATAAACATAACATGTAAAACATATTTAAAAATAAAATCAAGCATAGCATATAAAACATATATTTTGTTGATAAACGAAACATATAAAACATATTCAAGCATGTAAACTCTTAATCTTTTTATTATTTTCCCAATTGCATTAATTCAAATAGGTAATGTGATGTTAAACATTATGCATTCTTGATTCTATGAGTCACCTTTGTACCAAGCTCCTCGAGGCACCGAAGCTCCGAAAACCCCATATTTGCTAATGTTGCTCATTCATTCATCCTAATAAAAGGTATTTTTAAAAGAAACTTAAAGTTATTAAACCTTTTTTATAGGGATTAAGAATTTAAGACCCTGATAGACTTGTTTGGGCTTGCCTTGAGGGGCTTGGTTGGGCGTCTAGGGGCTCCGCCCCCATCCCAACTGCTAAACAGAAAAAAATAAAAAAAAGAAAAGAAAAAATGTACAGTTTTTCAAAAGGCGCATGCCTGGGCTGAAGCACAAGGTGCACTAGGTGAACTCTTTTTGAAAATACTCTGCTTGGGACATAGGCGAGGCACATATTGTGCGCCTAGGCGTGCCTTTTAAATCACTGATTTGAGGGGCATCAATAGGGGTGCAAGTTGGGTGCGCTGGGCCAGGTTTAAGCTCAACCCAGGTCCAATTCTTAGGCCTGGGCCCAAGGTCAATCCCGAATTACCCAACCTGGGCCCAGTTTGCACTGAAATTTGATGCACTCAGGTTGGGTTCAAGCCCGGGTTGGGCTTGGGTTGGTCAATCAGCCCCTTGAAGTGTGGTCTTTCCCAATGGATGGGTGGTTGAAATACTTTTATGGTAGTAGTCTGGGCAATCTAGGTCCTTCAGGAATTGGAGGTGTGATAAGATATGAGGGTGGTATTATACGTGCTTTGTATTCATGCCCAATTGAGCAAGGTGATTCTGTAAGTGCAGAATTCTTTGCTACAGAATTTGGAGTAATGGTGGCTAAAGATAATAGGAATTGGAAGGTTGGTTCTTGAAGGTGATTCGAAGTAGGTAATTGGGGTGGGGGGTTAAATAAAGGTGAAGGGGTGATTTGGAAGCTTAGAAATGATTTGATGTGCTGAAAATGGCTATCAAAAGATATGACAATTCAAATCAAGTGGGTTAGGAGATCTAATAGTTTGGAAGATGGTTTGGCTAAACAAGGGGTTCAAAGACAACATATGTACTGGGCTCAGTTGTAATATAGTTTGTAATACAGTTGGCTGGGTCTGTTTTTTCATAACTTTTTTGTAATCTTTTCTTTTTTAAGTTAATAAAGGAATGAATTTCTCTGTTGCTATAGTTTTGTAGTGTATATCTATATATATATATACATTTTTTAAGTTTTGTAGTGTATATATATATATATTTATATATGGTTTACCAAAAAAAGTAGGCATATGTGGATTGATGCAAATGTGTTTAGATATGCGTATATGTATATACATAGTCAGGCCGGGCTTGGGTTGGGATAAGGTTTGGTGGAGTTCAGGCTACCTAAGGGCTAGACCTGGACCCAACCCAAAAATAAAAAACCCCAAACTTTTGGGCCCAGCCCGAGGACTGAAAATTCAAGCCCAGCCCGTGTAAAATTACGGGATGGGTTGGTCCAGGCTTGGGTTGGGCCCACCCAAGTTGCACCCCTAGCCCCAAGTCTGGAACCACGTAGTAAAGGCCTTGTAACAGTCATGAAGAGTATGTGTAGTGTTGTTAGCCCACGGCTGTTACATTCCAGTTTCACCTATTGGACTGCTATTCTATCATATTAATAAAGCTTTTCAATCATGCTAATTATCAATAAGACTTCTAAGAGGCTTATGGATAATGTTCTTGATGCTAGTCCTTCATCGTTATCATTGTTTTCATTATTGCCATAGTCATCATTGCTACTACATTTTCTTCTGTTTTGGTTTTGCTAAGTTGACAGAATGTAGTATAGATATTTCTCCTATCATATTCTAGTTATTAAGGAGAATGAAATATTTTAAATGGATTTACTGACAAGCTCTGAACTTGCACAGGATGCTTTTATGATGCATGATGATGCTGTCCTTTGTGTAGATTTTAGTAGAGATTCTGAAATGCTTGCATCTGGATCACAAGATGGAAAAATTAAAGTAAGTTGTGGTTATGTGTCTTGGATTAAAGTGCATTTTTTTATTGGTTGCTTTCCCAAAAAGTGCATAGATATCCCAATTTCTATATAATACCCTTTTGGTTTCACATAGATCATGTACACACTTGCATACTTCTAATACGAGGCTTAGGTGATTTCCTGTTAAAGCTGTCTTGTAGGCCCTTCTTGCTTCTCCTCTATAGGTTAAAGGTTTTTTTGAGAGGTTGCACTATACAAATCATAAATACTTGTATTCCTATCCACTCATGTATGCAGTAGAAATCACTGTTTGTAAATCAGGATGAATTCATTGTGAGGAGAAAGAAGAAGAAGATGAAGAGTTTTAGTAGTAGAGAAGAAAAAGAGAGGAAAGAAAGAGTGGGATGCTAACTAGAATTGAAATTAGTCCTGGCCACCAACCCCTCATTATATTTTATACTTAACTTAAAAGAATGAAAGATTACAAGAATGCCCTTAGTAGGACAGCTACTAAAGTAGCTGAACAGTCACAACTTAAAAAACAAAAGTTAATGGGCCTAAAGCCCAACAACTTCCTAACTTAACAACTTAAAATAAGAACAAAACAACTGGGCCCAATAACTAGAAATCGGCCCAACTCAACACTCCCCCTCAAGTTCGGAGTAAATGTCACACATTCCCAACTTATGTAGATCATGCTCCAACTTGTTCCTTGCAACACCTTTTGTGAGAACATCAGCAAGCTGCAGATCAGAAGTAATGCATGGGAGACAAACTTCCCCATAAGTTATCATTTCTCTGATGAAATGTCTATCAACTTCAATGTGCTTAGTCCGGATGCTGAACTGGGTTATGGGCATTGTTAATTGCTGCCTGGTTATCACAATACAACATCATAGGTTCTTCTGCCTGTACACCAATCTCTCCCAATAGGGAACGGATCCAGAGAAGTTTTGAAACTCCATGTGCCATGGCCCTGTATTCAGCTTCAACACTTGATCTTGCCACCGCTGTCTGTTTCTTACTCTTCCACGAAACAAGGTTACCCCAACAAGGGTGCATACTTCTGAAGTAGATCTCCTGTCATCAAGGCATCCTGCCCAATTTGCATTTGTATAAGCCTCTAGTTTCAACTGTTCATGATCAACAAACAATATGCCTCTGCCCGGGTGTCCCTTCAGATAAGCAAGAATCCTATCAATAGCCTCCCAATGTTGGACTCGTGGAGCATGCATGTATTGACTTACCACACTTACTGCATAGGAAATGTTTGGTCTTGTCATACACAAGTATAGCAGCCGCCCCAAAGTCTTTGATATCTCCCAATGTCTTTTATTGGCTCACCTTCTGATGCATTAATTCTGTGATTCTGATCAACAGGAGTACTGATTGCCTTTGTTCCAAGCTTCCTTGTTTCTTGAAGAAGATCCAGGACATACTTCTTTTGAGAGAAAAATTCCATGTTTTGATCTTGCGATTTCAACGCCTAAGAAGTATCTAAGTTCTCCAAGATCCTTAATTTCAAATTCTTTGTGTAGATTCTTCTTCAAACAATCAATCTCACTTAGGTCATTCCCTRTGACARCAATATCATCCACATAAACAATTAGGACTGACACCAAGGATCCCCTTCGCTTCACAAACAAGGTATGATCGAATTGAATCTGAGTGTAGCCAAAAGCAACCAAGGCTTTCCTGAACCTGTCAAACCATGCTCTGGGAGATTGTTTCAAGCCATAAAGTGACTTCTTAAGCCTGCATACCTTTCCCTTTTCAGCATCACTTTAGAAGCCAACAGGAAGATCCATATACGCTTCCTCTTGCAGATCGCCATTTAGGAAAACATTCTTCACATCAAGTTGAAATAGGGTACAAGAGTATGTGGCAGCAAGAGAAAGAAGTATCCGAACAGAGGTCATCTTTGCAACTGGTGCAAAGGTCTCTAAGTAATCAATGCCATAGGTCTGTGTGTACCCTTTTGCAACAACTCTAGCCTTGTGCCTTTCTATACTTCCATCTGCCTTATATTTTACTGTGTAAACCCATTTGCATCCAATAGTCTCCTTGCCCTCAGGTAGGTCCACAATCTCCCATGTCTGATTCTTAATTAAAGCTTCCATCTCATCCTGCATAACTGTCTTCCACTCAGGTTTGGAGAGAGCCTCACTGGCACCCTTGGGTATAGACACAGAGTCAAGAGAGGGAAGAAAAGCACGATAGGAAGGGGAAAGTCTACTATAGGATATTTACTGTGAAATACAATGAGCAATACACTTTCTCTTCCCTTTTCTAAGGGCAATAGGGAGGTCCAGGTTATTTGTAACGGGATTAGTAGAATCAATGGGAATTGAAACAATAGAGGGATTAAGAGGAATACCTGAATCCATGTCAACTGAATCTGGAGTCTCCAAGGAACTGACAGGAAGTGATATGAGTTCTGTTGCAATGGAATCAACCTCCCTGTGAAGTCTCTATCATGAGTAATGCTGAGAAGCAAGACGCAAGGGAGGTGGTAAGGTAGGTGACACAAGAGGATCAGACACAGGAGTGGACATAGGGACTGGAATTGGGAGAGGGATAGACTGCTCACTCACTTCCCCAAAACACTCCCCCTGAGAAGGATTCTTCAAGAAGTATGTGGACTCAAAAAAAGTGACATCCATAGTAACATACCGACTCCCAGAGACTGGATCATAGCAGCGGTGAGGACCAAGGATATGTGCAAAGCAGACACACCCAAACACCTTGAAAGGAATATGAAACATCTCCCCCTCAGGAAAAAGAAGACTGAATGGAGTGCTGAATCCAAGTACACGATAGGGCACCCTGTTAATCAAATATACTACTGTGAGAATTGCATCACCCTAAAAGCGAATTGGAACTGTAGATGTGATCATCATGCTTCTTGCAATCTCAACAATGTGTTTGTTCTTCCTTTCTACAACACCATTCTGCCTTGACTGTAGGAACAACTGCTCTGATGGACAAAACCATATTCTAGCAGATATGAAGCAAGGTGTTTTTCAAAATATTCCCTAGCATTGTCTGATCTGAACACCTTTATTCGTGTTCCAAACTGTGTTAGGACCATCTGATGATATTGCCTTACCAAGGATGGTACCTCATCCCAGGATCTCATCAAGTAAACCCAAGAATATCGAGAGAAATCATCCACAAATAAGAGAAAGTATCGATAACCACCCATAGAAGGAACATGATAAGGTCCCCACACATCAGAATGAATAACATCAAAAGAAGAAGAACACCTTTTATTACTAGCTTTAAAGGAATGTCTACAATGCTTTCCAAGTTGACAACCTTCACATTTCAGACTTGACAAACTAACAGGCTTAAATAGCTTTGGAAACAAAAGACTCAGAAGAAAAAGGCAAATGACTCATTATACCTATTGACATGATGACTCTGATGAGGAGGAAGCACATCCAGGAGGTAGATTCCATTCACTTCACGACCACTTCCAATCGTCCTCTTTGAATCTAGATCCTACAAGATATAATGACCAGGAGAAAAAATTACTGAACAGTTCAGGTTCTTAATCAAACTACTAATAGATAACAAATTAGTGCTCAATCTGGGAACATGAAGGACAGAGGGAAGGGAAATGGAATCACTGATCTTGACAGACCCCTTCCCAGGAATGGGAACATGGGATCCATCAAGACCCTGTCTCTGCCAGAACAGATCTGGTAAGAGGAAAAAATGGTGGAGCTATGGGTCATGTGCTCTGAGGCTCTAGAATCTATAATCCAAGGAGGTCCCTCCTTACCTGAAGTAGAAACATAATTTGTAGTGGCATGTGAACTACCTGTGTGAGCAAAGGAAGTAGAATGAACTCCACCAGAACCACCTGTACCTTGCTGTCCGCCTATTGCTGAACTAGAACTGGCTGTATCCCGTTGGTTCAGAAACTGCCCATACCTCTCAAGTTTGGCCCTTACTGTAGCAGCTGCAACAGACTCTAGAGCAGCTGTAGTAGGAGGGGCTGGAATGTCACCAGTGACTGCCTTGTGAGCATTTACCTTCGTATTTTTGAGTCTATTTGACACAAGATGTGGATGAAGCTTCTAGCAAGTATCTCTTGTGTGTTTAGGCTTACAGTAGTCACAGATCAAATCTTTTTTGTCTTCCTTCTTGATTTCACTGCCACCCCAGTCTCCACTTTGTTTAGGTCTCACAGTGCTAACCATGGTTGACTGATCAAACCCAGAATTTTTCATCATCACATTTCTCCTGGTCTCCTCCTTGACACAAAGGCATATGCCTAGGAGAGGGTAACACTGTCCCTGGAAAGAATGTGATGTCTTGCAATATCATACTCGAAGGCCAACAAGAAATTCAAACACCCTATACTTCTCTAGGTGTTTCTGGTAGGCAGTTGCATCCTTAGTGGTTTCCCAAGCAAATGTCTCTAAATGGTCAATCTCTTGCCACAGGGTTTTAAGGGCTGAAAAGTAAACTGCAATAGGTTTATCTCCCTGCCTTGTAGCAATAATCTGATTTCTCAATTGATAAGTCCTAGCAACATTCTCCTCTGTGAATAGGTTTCGGCAACCCCATCCCATATTTCCTTAGCTGTATTTGCCCATAAAAAGTTTTTACTTATATGGGGCAGCATGGAATTACACAGCCAAGTCATCACCATATAGTTCTCCTGTACCCACCGGGAGCTGTTAGTTTCGGGTTTCACTTCTTCACCAGTGATATACCCTAACTTCCCACGAGCACCAATGGCCATCTTTGCAGATTGTGACCATTCTAAGTAATTCGAACCATCCAACTTAACTGTAGTAATGGTCCCAGCCTGAAAAGGTCTCCAGCATCTCCTCCCACTGGTCCCATTTCACTCCCGAGCTTGTTTTCAACTCCGTAACCATCCATACTTCTCAAAAGGTGCAAAGAAAATTACTGTAATATGCAAGATGATCAAATGAAACACTTTTGGAACCAACGACACCTTTCTGGTGCCCTAGATGGTCCTCCCACAAAAGATTTCTTTTCTAC